TTTAAGTAACTTGCTCAAGAATTATACATCTTGTATATGGATTCAAATAAAGGTGTAACTCTAAGGCCATGATCTTTTCTCCCTACAAAGTGGCTTCTTCAAAAGCATTTTTTCATGTTGCTACATGATTATATTTTTAAGCATAAAGGAATGTCAGTACATAAATTTGACCACATAATCTATAGAAGCAGCACCAGAATAGATGATGCTCAGGATTTAAAGGGATGAAAGGCATGATCCCTGCCCTTCAGTGTCAGTGCGCCAGTGCAGAGGAACCTAACCCCCATGAGACATGTACAAAGAATTCAGTACCGGGCTTAATGTGGTAGTATTTGCTATTGTTATAAAAACCAAAGAAAAGGAAGTAAGCGAGGATTACGCCCCATATGCAGAGAAGGCTGCTAACAGATTTAGGATTTCAGCTAAAACTAAGAAGACTGACAACGTCAAGTGTTGGTGAGACTGTAGGACACCCAGAGTTCTCACGCATGGCTGGTGGGAGGGTAAATGGTGAAGCACTTTGGAAAACAGTTTGATAGTTTCTTATAAAAATATACTTACCTATGAGTCAGCAATTCTACTCCTAGGCATTTTACCTATGAAAAGTGAAAGCTTATGTCTATTAAAAAGTGTGTACAGCCCGGCCGGTATGGTTCAGTGGATTGAGCATTATCTCATGGAAGGAGAGGTCCCAGTCAGATTCCTGGTCAGCACACATGCCTGGGTTTGACACATGTCAGGCTTGATCCCCAGTAGGGGGTGTGCAGGAAGCAACTGATCAATGTTTCTTTCTCATTGATGTTTCTATTAAAAAATAAATAAAAATATTTAAAAAAATAAAAAAATGTGTACATGTGTATTATAGCAGGTAGTATATAATAGGCCTGTCTTAGTTTTCTTTTGTTGAGTAACAGATTATACAAACTACATCCATTTATTAGCTCACCGTTCTGTAGAGCAGAAAGTCAGCATGGCGTGGCCGGGTTCTCTGCGCGAGGTCTGGAGGCTGAAATGAAGGTGCCAACAAGAATGACTTTTCATCTGGAAACTCTTGGGGAGCATCCACGTTCAGTTCATTCTTGTTGTTGGCAGAATTTAGTATCTTGCAGCTGTAGGACAGGTTCTGTTTCCCGGCTAGGTGTTAGTTGGACACCACTCTCAGCTCCTAGAGGTCACCTGCATTCCTTGTCACATAGTGCTGTCCATCACACATCACCAACAGCATATTGAACCCTTCTTCTGCTTCGAATTTCTGGCTTTTTGTACTGCCAGCTGGAGAAAACTGATCACAATTAGGCCAGGCCCACCTCAATAATATCCCTGTCTCAAAGTCAATTACACCAACTAACAACCTAATCATTGGGGTAGAACTCGACTATAGTTACAGTCCTGGGGATTATGAGGGTGTGCACACCAGTGGGTGGGGGTCTTGCAGAACATCTCAGAGTTCTGTTTACCACAAACCCCCAATTGGAAACAACCCAAATGTCCATCAACAAGAGAATGGATAAACAAACTGCAGTATAGTCATACGGTGGAATACCCTTATTGCTAGAAAGGGACAGATCATTAATATACTCAATAACATGGATATATCTCAAAAACTTTATGCTGAAAGAAGTGTAAAGAGTGCACATTGTATGATTCCATTTGTTTGAAATTCTAGAAGTAAAACTAATCTGTGATAATAGAAAATATGAGTAGTGGTTATTGGTGGGGATAAGGGCAATAGCCTGAGAATGGGCACAAGAAAACTTTCCAGGGGTGGTGGACATGTGCGACCTCTTGGTAGGAGTGTGGATTACATAGGTGCTTTTCATTTGTCACACGCTTAAGGTCTGTGTACTGCACTAAATGTAAATTCCACCCTAATTTATAGAATCTAAAACATTACTCTGCTGGGTCCTTGTTTTAAGAAATGAACCACAATCACACACACGTGTGTGTGTGTGTGTGTGTGTGTGTGTGTGTGTGTATGATAATCAACCACAATATATAACCATCAGAAAACATGAAAGCTAGAAACAACTTGACAAATGATATTTTCTGATTCCCTCGTAAACACTACTGCCTTGGTGAAGAAAAAAGTTGAGAATTCCTCATGATAAAATCTGCTGCGGCCACCCTCTGCACTCAGGAGGGAAATTAGACGACTGTACCTGTGTGTGCTTGCCAGCAGAAAATGCAACAGAGGGACAGACAGCCATGCAGGCAGAAGGACAGGCAGCCACACATCTAGAAGTGTGAGTACAGAATCTGGGTGGAGATATTTTATTTACATGTGTTTGGCAGGAGACAGTTTTCTTATGAGGTTGATTTGGTTAGGGAATTCACAGCATTCCGCTGCCCTGTGATTTGGCTGAGAAATAAGTTGTAAAAACTCCACTATGGTTATGGCTAAAAAGGGCATACATGATGTTAATCCACGTCTATGACCTTACCCTACCTCTAGAGATCAGTGATCTATAAGATCATGTTTGATGATGATGTGAGCAGAAAAGGGACAAATTCAGGTAGATGGGAGTTCACAGAACTGACTTCTACAGTTTTTAGGCTATTCTTTTAAAAAGCTTCCTTTCATATCTACTATGAGATTAGTTTCCTAGGCTACATTAACTTCATATGATTCCCTGGCTGATTATTGACTTTAGATTTTAAGTGCATAAACAAAATATTTAGATGGCTCTTAAAATCATTGTAATTTAAACAATTATCTTAAAAATTCTGGATTGTGCTTTGGCTTTTTGTGATGAGGTGTTGTCACATGCTAATTTTAAATTTTCAACTTTATTTTGTTAGTGTCTGAAACATTTTATTTTCTATTTGTATTTCTTCACTCAGGTCCTCTTGGAAACTTACATTCATTGACACTTCTGTGATCATTTCAAGTTCCGTTAGTTGTTGGGGTAGTTTTCCAGAGTGGTCACGGTTCCTTTCAGTGACTGAAGAGAATTAGTACATTCCCATTTCGTCCTACCAAAGCTACTTATATGTTGAGTGGTTAATATAATTCTAGTAAACTAGGAGTTTTGGAATTAGAATTGTCAAATTCATTCAGTTCTGAGAAATTGCATTTTTTCATTAGATAACTTATGATATTAATCCCTCTGTATAGTTTTACCTACAACAATTCCTGTTTTTTCTGTGTTAAACAATATAATATTGGCTTGCAGTTTATGTAAAATGATTGTGTTAGATGGAACTCTTTTGTCTTGATCTATAAGTATTAAAATAATTATTCTTTAAAGTATTTACACACAAAAAGACCCATACTGTATGACTCCACTTATATGAGGTGTCTAGAGTAGTTAAATTCACAGAAACAGAAAGTAGATGGTGGTTGCCAGGCCTGGGGGAGGGGGACTGGAGTTGTTTAATGGGTAAAGAATTTTGGTTTTGCAAAATGAAAAAGTTCGGGAGAAGTATTGCAAAACTGAATATACTTATGAATATGTACAGACTGCTGAACTGTACACTTTAAGATGGTTAAGATGGCAACTTTTATGGGTATTTTGCCATAATTAAAAGTTAAATAAAATATTAAAATATCTACTGTTTTTCATTTTTGAGATCAGAAGACTTAATAAATAATTATAAGCAAGAAATGTAAGATGTAGTTTAATATATTAATTTCTTTCATCTCAGTGGACAGTGTTCTTCCAGTTGTGTGTTGTACTCCAGTGTGTCTTTTAGGGGTTGGGGGCAACTCCTTACCCCATCGTTTTCTCCATTTTCACCTTCGCAGCACATCTTGCACTTACACTCCTTCCCAAAGTTGCTTAATTGGTAGATTTAAAACATTTTAACATGGAGCAAAGCATAACTGAAAATAAGCAGGAATTAATGTAATCTGCTCTTTGCCCAGTAGTTCAACCTGTCACTAGGGACATTTAAAAAGTACAGAGCAACTGCTGTGTCAGGCATTGTGCTAGTACTTCCACATATGTGTTTTGAGAGTTGATCATTTATCAGAAATGTATTAAATTGATCAGACTGAAAGAAACTTTTGATTATCATTTTTTAACATTGTTTTGGCTATAGGAATATTTTTGTGCTTGGGACAGCTTATAAATTACATAATGATATATTTTTAACAGGAGTACATTTTGGTGTTAAAAAGTGTGCTTACATGTATTTTACTATCCAAGGAGCTAATTTCCAATATGTGGATAGCCATAATGTCTCCAAGGTGTTCATTATGCCAGATTTATATCACTGGGGGCAAAGCTAGAGAGAACAAGCCGGTACACATTCTCTTCTCACTGTCCGGCATCATGTTACTGCTCAGAGGGGAGTGTTCATGGCCGAGTGCTACACCCTCCTGAACGGAAGAAGAGGGGGCATCAGAATGTTTAACAGTTATTTTTAGCATCAGATCTAGAAAGTGTTAGCGTTTTCATTTTAGGGTGATACTTTTATATTTATTATGATAATTCCAAGAGGAGTGAATAATTTTAGATTTGAGTATGTGAGTGCATGTGTGCATTATGCACGTGTGTGTGACAGTGAGAGGGAGGGGGGGAGAGAGAGAGAGACATCCCCTTAATAACAGGAGGGGGCAGAGGCTTAGTCTGTTATAAAGCTCTGCTAATGTAGCTTCTGAGTCATGTGACTGCAGAAAAGGCTATTATCTCAATGAAAAGGAAACTCGTTTTTAGAGCAAGCAACAGAATAGAAGCAGGAAGAATTTTCGAGTGTTCCACCATGCTGGATTGTCAAAGGGGAACTGTCTGATCAGCAGCTAAAAAAGGATTTGTGAGGCTAGTTTGTCAGCTATGGTTAGCAACAAATGATAGAGGAGATAAGCGGCAGGGGGCTCCGCATGTGCTTAGGTTGCCATCAGGGCAGAAGGTTGGTTTGGGTTAATAGAGAAGATTTCTCTCTGAGGCAGTACATTTATTGCTAATTGTGGGGTGGTGGTTTTTTTTTGGGGGGGTGTTGTTTTGTTTTTGTTTTTTAAAGAGTGATGTGTGGTGTTTTTATTTACATCACTGATGAAGATAAAGACAAGCTGCTGAGCTCTGATTTGAACTGCAGAGGCTGTGGACAATTTACAAGGTGTGTTTCACAAGTGCTCTGACTTGATATTTGGTAATGTTCTTGGAATTCTGTGTGCTTGCAGATTGGATGTGCTGTTGTCAAAGGGAGAACTGAGCATGACAATCAGACAGTGGTAATGTCCTCAGGAACAAATAGATACAATGCGATCCCAATTGATTCCTTCTTGTCCTTATTTCTTTCGTGTTTATTTAGTGATTTAAGGTTTCTTGCAGTTTCTATATGTGGCCAAATACAGCCTCATGCTTGTTTTAGGAAATATTTTTGGTAAGCATTTTCTCAAATTCAGAAGAAGAACCTAATGTAAATCTTAATCATTAGGAATAAATATAAGCTTTATATTTCTATCTTTATGTTTTTTGATAGCCTTTTGAAATTCAGGCTTAAAAGGGAGCTTTGTGGTGAATTTGGAATTATTTAATTTTTGGTTAGGTAATAAATGAAGGTTTCTTTTTTGACTGAGCCTCTAATGAATAATTTTTTAATTATTTATATAGTCCCTAACTTTCTCTGATTTATTACATCCTTATGCTACTATATTAGAAAGCTAAAAACATCCAGTTAATCTTTAGACTGTGCTTGTCCACTTTTGCTCATGCTAAGCTATTAATTCTCTAGCAGTCTATATCTTTCTCTTAACCTTGGAAGGTGTAGTACTTAAAAATCTGAGATTGGTGAAAGATAATTATAAGCTGTATCTGAGAAGGATTAACAATTATACATTATGTACCTGAGGAATGAATTCACTAATATATTTTTCATTTGACTTCTAGACCAGATATGCCCAATTTGGGGTGTATGTTTCCAAATCCCATGTTTTGAAACTTAATTATACTGTCTACATCTCCCTTGTGAAATTGACATTGGAGGAGGAAAGAAGTCTATCAAGCTATTATGCACTGTATACACAGTTTACAAAGTATTCTTTTATCTTTTCCAATAAAAGATGGTGAGAGTAGCTCAAACATATTTTTGTTGTTAATCCTCACCCATGGCTTTTGAGAGGAGGGAGGGAGGGGGAGAGAGAGAGAGAGAGAGAGAGAGAGAGAGAGAGAGAGAGAGAGAGGCATTGATGTGAGAGAGATACATCAATTGGTTGTCTCCCGCATGACCCTGACAGGGGTGGGGATTGAACCTGTAACACAGATATGTGCCCTTGACTGGAAATTGAACCCGAGACTCTTGGGTCCATGGGCCATTGCTGAGCCAAACTGGCCAGGGCTCAAACATAATTTTTCTTTATTGATTTTGGAGAGAGAGGGAGAGAGACAGAGACATCGATTGTCCTTCTGCATGCCCCTCACTGAGGATCGGCCCCACAACCTGGGCATGCGCCCTGACTGGGAATCTAACCAACAACATCTTGGTTGCATGGGTTGACGTTCAACCACTCAGCCACACCGTCCGGGTTCAAACATAATTTTTTTTTTTTTTTTTATCCTCACCCGAGGACATTTTTCCATTTTTTGTTCAGATAGAGCGGGAGGGAGAGAGAGGAAGAGAGAGAGAGAGAGAGAGAGAAACATCGATGTGAAAGGGACACATCGAGCAGCTGCCACCCGCACGACCAACCAGGGCCGGGGACAAACTGCAGTCGAGGTACGCGCCCTTAGCGGGAACCGAACCCGGGTCTCTCAGGACCGCAGACCGACGCTCTAACCGCTGAGCCAAACCGGCCAGGGCTCAAACATAATTTTTAATCATACTAAGTACAGGCTATTTTCTTATAATACTTATAAACCATATCCTAGCATAATGTAGTTCAATAAATCATTAATCTTATTATATGGGGTTGTTTTTTTTAAAAAAGCACTGACACTTTAGTTTATTTCCATAAAAGACAATTTGGTTTAAATAGACAGTTAAGTTACTGTGGTTTTGACTGTTGTGGAATTTTTCTTTTTAATTGTAGGCCTTTCCTGCCTTCTTGTAAGTTGGCTGTAAGACAAAGTTATATACTGCTTTCAGCCCAAATGTTACTAGCATCATTAAATTTTTGAATAAAATAAAAATTATGTCAGGTTATTTGGGCTTTCTTTGTTTTTCTTTTAAATTTTATTTTGTTGCTTTATCTAAAATCTTTGAAGTTATCCAAGGATTTTGGAATAATTCAAGGTGGTTTTATTGAGCACTTATTATTATAAGGCCCACTCTATGAAACACTATGAGAAAACAAAGGCAAATAAGGTATTTAAACCAACATGATCACTTATAACTGGCACTGGAACTCAGCCTCAGTAAATGTAATTATCCTACACAGCAGCTCCAAAAATAGCATTGTTATAACACTGTCATTTTGTTAAAACATTGATGAGGGGGGGGAAAATCAATTCCTTGCTAGGGCCACTGTGTGGAGTTTGTATGTTTTCCCCATGTCTGTGTGGGTTTTCTTTAAGGACTCCAGGTTCCTTCCACATCCCAAAGATGAGCATATGAGGTGAAAGTTGTGTCCACACTGTCCCCGTCTCAGTGAGTTTGTGTGGATGTGAGGGGCCCTGTGATGGAAAGGCGTCCTGTCCGGGGTGGGTCCCGCCTTGTGCCCTGAGTGTGGGGACAGGCTCTGGCCACCCTCGACCTTGAACTGGAATCAGTGGGGTGGGAAATAGTTATCTTATTTGTTTTCATTAATCTTTCTTAAATATGTGTTTAGCTCACATTTATTTCAGCGTTTAATATTAGTAGTGTTTGGGGTCTTTAGAAGTTTAATGATGTTTTTGTGACCAGAAATATATGTTAGGAACTTAAACTCTTGTTTCTATCAATTAGCCTGTGGTCAAATTGTTTCATTATAGGCCATTTCACTTAATGTTGAAGTTTCTAAGAACCATTGATGATGTTAAGTGAGGACTTACTGTATCTTACAGGAATTTTAGATTGTTGAAAGGAATTTTGGGTAAAACTTGTTTAGCCAGTCAGAGAATACATTCAAGATATCTTTGTGAACGACTTTTCACATGAGCAGGTTTCAGTGGTAGTTTTAACTGGTATCTATTTGTGCTAGTTTGTTATCTCATTTGTATCATAATAGAAATAAGTTCATTTTATTTACAATCTTTTAAAACTAGGATAGTTTTTGTTCCTGATCATGTTGTTTTTCTCCTACGTGCTCAAATATCTGTCCTTTACATTTTAAAATACTTTTTTTATATAAATATAAAATACTTTTATATTGTAGTATATAAAAATACCTTTACTTTTTGGAGGTTGGCAGTTCAGAAGAACCCCAATCTTATGATTAGAGCTAAAAGACACGAGTTTTGACATCGGGGTAGTGTCTAAACAAGCCAGGTGACTAGCTTGCAAATCCTGCTGCACTTCAGAATTCCAGCTACAGTAATTAACCACAAATATTACAACCAGGTCTGAGCATGTCAGGCTGAGGGGGTTTGCTGCTAGGAACGATTTTTAATTTGTGAAAAAGATAGGGTAAGAAAACTTGGAATTCAAGGTGATCTTAGTATTCAGTGTTGTACAACCCGGTGAAATATGTACATAGGAATTTTTTTTGTTTGTGAAAGTAAATGTTTGGGAAGATTTAAACAGGATTAAGGTATTGGGCTATATTTTAAACACAGTTTAAGTCTTTGGAAGCCAAGGGGATATAAAATTCATGAAGTGAAAAAGTCTGTGCAACAGCTATCAGATTGTTCCTGAGTACCTTGTAGAGGGTTTACTCCAGAAATTTGTCACTCAGAAATGGCTGAGAATAGAATCACTTGGCTCACCCATTTCTCTCTCAAATATTGTCCTTAAAGAGGTAAGACCTGGCATTTTCTGGTGTGTATTTTAGTTGTAGCAATGACTCCTTTCACCAAGCTCACAGTTAACTTGCAGGGTTACAGCTTGTAATGTAATAATCACTAACACAATGTAACATAGGCATACATATTGGCTTTAATTTTAAAGATAGCTTAAGTATTGCTATTGTTTTTCTTAAAGATTTTGTCAGAAATATCAAATACTATCATCTTGATGTTGAGTAAATTGTTTCCTTTTAAAAAGCAGTCAAACTGAGAAATAGACAGACATACTTGGGAGACATTGCAGGTTTGGTTCCAGACCACCGCAATAAAGCTAATGTCACAATAAAGCAAGTCACATGCATTTTTTGGTTTCCCAGTGCTTATAAAAGTTAGATTTATACTATACTATGGCCTATTAAGTGTGCAATAGCATATGTCTAAAAAAGCAAAGACATGCCTTAATTAAAAATACTTTACTATCAAAAAATGCTGTCATCTGAGCCTTTGATAAGTTGTGATCTTTTTGCTGATGAAGGCTCTTGCCTTGTTGATGTTGATGGCTGCTGACTAATCAGAGTGTGGTTACTGAAGGCTGGGTGGCTGTGGCAGTTTCTTAAAATAAGACAACAGTGAAGTTTGCCACAGTTGACTCTTCCTTTCACAGATGATTTCTCTGTAGCATGTTATGCTGGTTGATAGCATTTTACCCATAGGACAGCATCTTTCAAAGTTGGAGTCCGTCGTCTCAAACCCTGCCATTGCTTTATTGACTAAGTTTATGTAATATTCTAAATCCTTTGTTATCATTTCAACAACCTTCAGAGTATGTTCACCAGGAGTAGATTCTATCTGAATAATAGAGCCACTTTTTTTGCTTACGCATTAGAAGCAACTCTTCATCTATTAAAGATTTATCATGAGATTGTAGCAATTCAGTCACATCTTCAGTTTCCACTTCTTAATTCTAGTTCTCTTGCTATTTCCACCATGTCTGTAGTTACTTCCTCCACTGAAGCCCTTAAAGTCATCCAAGAGGATTGGAATCAGCTTCTTCCAAATTCCTGTTAATATTGATGTTTTGACTTCTTTCCATGAATCATGAATGTTCTTAATGACATCTAGTATGGTGAATCCTTTCCAGAAGGTTTTCCATGCACTTTGCTTAGATCCATCACAGGAATCATTGTGGCATCTGCAGCCTTACAAAATGTATCTCCTAAATAGTAAGACTTGAAAGTTGAAATTACTCTTTGACCC